GGGAGCCAGGGTACAGCTTCCGGGTCATGTGGCCAGCATGACTAAGCCACTTCTGGCGAACCAGAGCAGCGCACGGAAACGCCGTTTACCTTCCCGCTGGAGCGGTACCTATTTATCTACTTGCACTTTGATGTGCTTTCGAGCTGCTATGTTGGCAGGAGCAGGGACCGAGCAACAGGAGCTCACCCCATTGTGGGAATTCGAACTGCCAACCTTCTGATCGGCAAGTCCTAGGCTCTGTGGTTTAACCCACAGCGCCACCCATAATAGTAATGAGGATCAGGTTATATGAATTCCCAACCTACTGATGCCCAATTAGCCCTATACAAAAAGGGTTTAGGACCAGGTTATCTAAAATATAAACTCCTCCCATATAAAACTATGGGAGAAGCTATGCAATGAATTGGTATCTACTTGGTGCATCTGACAGGAGCATGGGACAGGAGCCTTTTTAGCTGTTATCCCTAGATTGTGGAACCAGTAGCATAGTGGTGGGGACCGGGGGGCTGTTGCCCTGGTCACACAGTTGGAGTGTTTGTGCAAAACAGGCAACCCCCCACAGAGATCCCCATGATTGTTCTCATGAGTGAACCTATGTAACTGTACCTCCAGTGGCAGGTTCCACGCAATGTACACATGGGACTTGTAGTCATCCATCCACACCTCGGCCACCCGCAATGCGTTCCTCTTTGTGTAAAAGCCAATGTTATTGTTGTAAGGTTTCTTCTTGCGCTCAATGTGGGCAACTCGAGAGCAGGGCAGGACTTCCATGCTGCCACCGCAGAGCCATACCTAGAGAGGGAGAGGGAGAGAAAATGGGAGACAGACAAGGAGTATGTGGAAGCCAGGGAAACCAAGGCAACATCTATGACCAGCTGCTTCACAAGAGGATCATATCTTATGTTCACCTGGTGCCTTCATTAGATATCTTTAGGTGCCAGGAGAAAACATTCCTCTCCATCAGGCCTTTGACTGATTTGACTTAGATCCAAATGTGAAGTATGTATACCACTTTGAGTCCATTGGAAGAAAGGTGAAATAAATCATCACCATCATCATTTTGATGGATCTACCTTGAGTCCCCATCTACACTATACATTTATAGCCTCTATACATTTAACAGTCATGGCTTCCCTCAAATAATTCTGGGAATCATATTTTGTTAAGGGTGCTGAGAGTTGTTAGGAGGACTCCCTCCCCCAATTCCCCTCACAGACCTCCAATTGCCAGTGTAATAATGATAATGATAATGATAATCTATACCTCATTTTTCCCCTGATGGGGCACAGGGCAGCTTACAGATAAGAACTAGAATTGCTAAAAACATAGGGGAAATAAACAATCATTAAAAAAATAATAATTAAGCATTGATAAAATTAAAGTGTTCCTCAAGAAGGGGGATTTCTGGGTAAACCACTCCAAGAACTGTAGTTCTGTGTGGGGATTAGGTATCATGGTGCTTTACATGTGTAGTGCAGATTGGGCCCAAAACACAGAAGAAAAGTATCTGTTCACCCAGGCCATCACTTATCCTAATAAACAGTCAGCCCCCGGTCTGAATCATCAGAGCACTAGGAGGTAATTATATACTATTATAGTTGATAACAGCAATGGGGACGTAAGAACACTTTTACAGTAATTTTTCTTTTGGGGGGTGGATATGGAAAAACTTGCTTCATTTAATTACACAGCTGGAAAAGACCATCATGTCAAATCCTGCTCAGTGCAGCGTTTCACTACCGCATCCTTGAAAGGTGGTCATCCACGCATTGCTGACAAACCTCTTGTGAGGGAAAGGATCCCACTTCCAGAGACAATCTGTTCCATTGCCAAACAACTCATACCAGTAGAAATATGCCTACGGATACCAGTTGCTGGCAATTCCAAATGGGCAGAGCTTTGGTGAACTCAGGTTGCCAAATCGGCAACTCATAAAGCCCATATAGCAGAGGGAGGAAGAATCCTGTTTGGGGAGAAGCCAGCTCCCTCCACATCCCAATTGGCCCAAGGACCCAGCTGAACCTTCCCCAGCAACTCCCCAGGGAAAAACCATTCGGAGTCTTCTTTCCGGGGGCAGTTGGGGTTGGGCAAATTCGCTCCCACTTGAAGGTGGAAGTAATGTTGTGGCTAAGAACATCAGAGAACTCTTAATGAAAACAGAAATGTGAGCAGACATTGAATACATTCAGTATTTGTTTTTGGTGCTTTAGGTCTGCAAGGAATATGTAACTGATTACAGCCCCACCCCCCATTTGCATTGCATTTAAAGAAACGTTTCTCAAACTTGGGTCTCTAGCTGTTGTTGGACTACAACTCCCAGCATCCGTAACTAGCAGGACCTGCAGACCAACAACAGCTCGAGAAACGCTGATTTAAATGAATGGGGCACTATAAAGAAAACATAACTTGAGTAATTCATGTAATTTACGTAATTTTGTCACAGCAGAGAGTGAGGTAAATAATATACTTTTTGCAAGAAGATGAATTGCCGAGGGACAGAAACAGTACTGTATTCCACAGGGCTGGATGGAAAGCAATGCTTTCTTACCTGTCCAGTTGTGGCATCTTGTCAACAGTAAAAAGCCTACCCAACAGGAACTGCATCCTTTGTTACTACACAGGAGCAATTCCTAGTGAGAATGTTTTCCTCAGAGACTCTAGATCAGTGTTTCCCAAACTTGGGTCTCCAGCTGTTTGGGTCTCCAACTGTTTGGGTCTCCATCATCCCTAGCTAGCAAGACCAGTGGTCAGGGATGATGGGAGCTGCAGTCTGAAAACAGCTGGAGACCCAAGTCTGCGAAACATAGTTCTAGCCTGAGACATTCCACCATCCACCAACAAATAGCAAGAGTGGAAAATGTGGGGAAGTTTCTTCAAAGTTCACTGGGAAGTCTCAATCTCCATGCAGCTATGTTTTAGTCTCATAGCTACCCGAACAAAGAAGTCTGTGTCTTCTCTGATGCCTCAACAAAAGTAAGAGCAGTCTACTTGGTCACCAAAGCAGAAGGCAGGAGCTCATGGGAGTTGTAGCTCAAAACATCTTGAAGGCATCAGCTTGAGGAAAGCTGGTGCATACAATACTGAGATAGATGGACTCTGTACAAAGCAACTTCATACATCCCTAGCAGTTAAATGAAAAGGGGTGGGGACTCACACCTTGAGATGAAACCTATTAATCTCCAATCCAGCTCTGGCCAGAGACCCTTAACATGCAGTGAAAGGAGAGCTATGATTTCCAGCTGAGTGAAAGTACTCTTAACAAGTAAGAATTCAATTAGAGGGTTGGAATTGGGTTTTTCTGTTCACCCGAATGCAGATGGCACCTCAATTTCTGCTCACACTTAACCGAGTGGAAAGAAGGAGCCTTAAATCCCAGGATCCTGAAAGCCAATCTAATTTTCTATAGACCCCATGTTCACCTACTGCTTCAAGAGAAAGGGCAGTGTCAATCTATTAGTCATTCTATCAGCTCTGATGATGAGAGAGTGAATGCGGTATTTAAAGCCGAACATGATGAAAGAAATGATTAGAAGGACAGGGAATTGAGAGCAAGACATGACTGAAATAACAGGAGGTTATGGTGAGCAAAATTATCTCAAGTTCTCTCTGTACTGTGCTGAATCTGTTCCCCCCCCCCCTCTCTCTCTCTCTCTCACACACACACACACACACACCTTGTTATCAGTTATGTCATTTCTGGATGTTTTTTGTGTTACAAGACTGGTTCTAAAATCTATTTATTTCCTGCTGAATGTATATAAAAACTAGCCAACTGTACAAAGGCAAAACGTACACGTGTTGCTTTGCCCGCTTTTGCTTGTCATGACCCCAGTATCCAGCACTGAACTGGAAACAGAGATGGAGACTACAGGAGCACAACATGGGGAGCCAGAACATGTTCAGTGCTCAGAGCTGATAGTGGAAGAGAGGGAGACCATTGCACCTGAGGTGACTAGACAAGACCTGGGCCATCATGGACATCTTTCCCTGAACATGAAGAACCAGGTGCCTCCCACCATGAATCAGGAGGTTAGCAGCACCAGCCTGTGGAGCAAATAATGGTTGGCCCTTTAAGGCACTGAAGTCCTCCTAAGGGTTTGGATCTTGGAGGAGGTAGACTGGAGACAGAGACATAGAAGGCTTCAATCTACCCCCAATCATTGCAGGAGGAAGCTTCTCACTTGGAGCTGTCCATGGTCCAGCAACCTTCAACCAGCCTCGCTGCTTTCCCTGTGGGTTCCAGGACTGGACCAGAAAATGACATTGCCTCTGGCCCCACCCAATTGCCTAGATGGTTAATGCAGTCCTTGGCCTGAAAAAGTTCAGCACCCCTACTGTAAGATACAAAGTCATGCATCCAGCACCGCTCTGTGCAACACTTAGTATACTCAATAGTAAAGGTAAAGGGACCCCTGACCATTAGGTCCAGTTGTGACTGACTCTGGGGTTGTGGCGCTCATCTCGCTTTATTGGCCGAGGGAGCCGGCGTACAGCTTCCGGGTCATGTGGCCAGCATGACTAAGCCACTTCTGGCGAACCAGAGCAGCGCATGGAAACGCCATTTACCTTCCTGCCAGAGTGGTACCTATTTATCTACTCGCACTTTGACGTGCTTTCAAACTGCTAGGTTGGCAGGAGCTGGGACTGAGCAATGGGAGCTCACCCCATCATGGGGATTCGAACCGCCAACCTTCTGATCGGCAAGTCCTAGGCTCTGTGGTTTAACCCACAGCACCACCCGCGTCCCCCAAGTATACTCAATAGGAAACCTCTTAACTGGATTGTGGCCTATTCTTACAAATGAATTCTCAGCAGAACCCGTTTATTGTATATAAGTTTCTAGTGCATTGGAGATAGTGGATTCTGAGTTCACTTTTTGGACATCCTGCAATAGACAATTACCAGACCACAAACTTTGGCCTATGCCCTTGTTAGCTTCCATGGGTTTCTCCTTCTCCTTCTCCTTCCTCTTCTTTCCATACAGAAGTGGGGGAAGAGCTGTAGCTCAGTGGTAGAGCATCCGTCTTGCATGCCAAAGGTCCCAGGTTCAATCCCCCGGAGACCCACTGCTAGTCAGTGTGGGTAATACTGAGCTAGATCTGACTCAGTAAAAGACAGCTTCCCATATTCCTGTGTTCTGATATCTAGGCTATCAGTGTTGCTGCTTATGCAGCTATAGTGGCGCCAACTCTTCCCAGGAGAAAAATCAGCAGAATCAGGGTTATCCCAAGGTTTTCAGAAGTTCAGAAAGCTATATGGGTGGGGAGGGGACTCTCAGGGACCCCCCCCCCAAAAAAAACCCATGCACTAGCAGATGAACTGCAGTAGAGTGGAAACAGTGGTGCATGTGGCTAATCTAGGGAAGAATGAAAAACAATGCCTTCTCGCATCCCTACCTCTAGGTCAGGTTGGGGAAAACTTTGTCTGGATCTCCAGAGAGCCACTGACAATCACTGCAGACAACCACTGAGCTATTATGAGATCACACTCTTTCTAGGGGTTGGGCAGAGGCATCCAACAACTGAGGAATCCCAGTAAATGTTCACCTTCAACACTCATCTACTTCTAATTGCCCTGCTGCTTTTTCCTGGGAAAACCCACGGATTGCCGTTAGTTCTGATTTAGAGCTAAAAGTGGAGGGGAAAAGGTAAAACTGCTTGAACCTGTGCCTGGAAAGTCCAGGACAAGGAGAAAACTGCTCAGACCCCCCTTCTTTCTAGGCCTGGAACAAGCAAAAGTATGGACAAGTCTTTACTATCAGAGGACTCCTCTAAGAAGAAAAGTAATGCCCCTTTCCAAACTTTAGGCCAATCATGAAGACAGGATCACTGACAAGCAGTAAGCCCTTAATGTTACGTTTTACAAGACCCTAATTTTTATTCAAGTAAAATTCAATAAATCAAACAGCTTTCAATGCATTAGTCTGCCTGTATCAATCAGTGTTTTGCACTAAGTCTTCACTGTTTTATCTCCTCTTACCAAAGAAGATTTGACTGTGGTGCTGTTTTGCTAAATAAGCAATGGATCTCATGCCTAAATGTCAGGAATAGATGGGATAACAGCTCTGAGCATAAAATGTGTCTGTCAGCTGGCAGAAACTGAAGTTTCTTAGAAATCAACTAAAGTTCATGGCACTTTGAAGAATTGCCAGGGAGAACTATGTCAGAAAGCAGCCAAGATCCGGGGCGAGGAATGGTTTCAATTATTTTGTTGTGGGGAGAGGGATTAACTTTTCTATTCCAGCACTTCATATGGAATATTTATTGTTTTTAGTCATATTATGCTGCCGTGCCAAGAGTGACTTTTTCCAGAAGGAGAAGAAGAGGAAGAGGGAGAGGGAGACGGAGAGGAAGAGGAGGAGGAGGAGGAGGAAGAAGAAGAAGAAGAAGAAGAGGAGGAGGAAGAGGAAGAGGAAGAGGAAGAGGAAGAGGAAGAAGAAGAAGAAGAAGAAGAAGAAGAAGAAGAAGAAGAAGAAGAAGAAGATTTTGAAAAGTTTCCTGTTGTTGCAAGAATGCAAACTTTTGGCAAGGATGATGCAATTTTTTGAATTTGGGGGTGGTTGTAGGGTAATAAACGTAGAGGGTTGGTGTTGTGTGGTTCCTTTTGGTGACAAAACAGGCAGCTTTTCAAACACCAAAGCACCAGTGATGAAGAACGTAAAGGAAACATGCTGATGGCTGATTTTATATACAACTTGGTCACAGGGGTCACGTTAATCTATTTCATCTGGTAAGATAAGGTACTCTATGTATTTCCTTATTTTATCCACCTGGCATCCCCCCCCCCCAAAAAAAAAAACCCCAGCAGACTAGCACTAAATGCAAACAGAGGGATGAAACTAACATTCTGTGTCCACCAGCATAAGCACATCTGTCGTGGATGCTTTAGCTGAGATTCCTGCATTGCAGGAGGTTGGACTAGATGACCGCTGGGTCCCTTCCAATTCTACAGTTCTACAATTCTTGCAGTAGCAGATGGGAGAGTTTTAATTTTGCACAACAGAGCACTCTGCAGTAATTCAGTCTCATGGTTTACTTGTACATGGACTGCAGAAGCCCATCACCACTTGAAATATACAGAAGAAGCAGAAAGGCTGTTCGGAAGCTGTAGTAACTCTGTGCAACTGGCAGATGGAAAATCTATAGCGGCCATTTAAATATTCTCCAAGTCCTCAGATGAAATGAAATAAAATGATGTTTTGGTTTTTCTGATTTTTTTTGCTACGGTAAAGATATTGGAATGGATTAGATTCACTTTATGAAGTAATAAATACATTGTAAATGGATGTCATGATGGCCACTTGAGGAATATATTGATCATAACAGCAGCCATGTAATAGGGCATAGTAGATTGGTTTTATTGGAATTCAGATATTTGTTTAATTATGGAATGATAAGCAATTAAAAGATGCTAATAAAATTGAGTGCAAAGTATCTACTACAGATAGGGATACCAGAGAATTTCCAACAAAAACAGAAATGGGTGGGGCAATTGCCGCTTATTCATCCCTCATCCAAACCAAAAATGAACCCTGTGCAAATGATCAGTGTTTGCTGTTGTTTCTGCTTTCAATCTGCAAACAACACACAATTGATTACTTTTGCCTCCATTTTGCCTCCTTTGCACTGAAATGAACGGCATGGAATAACATAACAACAATGCAATATTCATGACTTCACCACAATAGGTAATGGGGCAGATAATGTAGTTTCTGGAAGAAGATGAACTGCAGCGGAACAGAAGCAGGTGTTGCAGGCAAGAAATACAGGGCACGGCAGGATGGAAAACAGCACCCTCTCACATCCCTCTCCATAGGTCAGAATGAAGCACCCATTTGGAAAGGTGCAAACATCCAAAAAGCAAAACTGTCATAGGACATCTCCACATTTGGCAGACATACATCCTGGCTTGGGTTTGACCCACATCGCAACGATGTATGCAGTAAAGCTTTGCAAGAGACACCATCTGCCTTGAAGATCTGAAACTTTACTGCTCCTCCATTCAATACTTCCAAGCGGAATATTATTAGTATTACAAGTACGATTTCCGCTGTCAGCTATAAAGGTCGCTTTCTTCTCTCTTTTCTAGCCTGCTCGAGGAATGATATGGAGAGCAGTTGTTTGAAAAGAAAGGTCCTGCTGCAAAAAAAGAGAGAGAAGTCTGCTCGGAGAAGGCTTTCAGATCTCTAATCATTCCAGTATGCTAATTCCAGGCATCAATGGTCACCCCAGTAGATGCTGATTGCCTCTTGAACATCGTCTCTATCAAAACATAATTAATCTGACCAGTGACTCTACACAGCTAATAGCTTAGAACCAATTCAAGATTTGTTTAGGTGATATAGGCTCTAATCTTTTTGCAGAGCATGAAAGGCAAATATTCTGCAGTAGTTGCTCCACATATTCAAGCTCCAGCGTTTTCCTGTTTTAACTTTTTCTACCGCCCCTGATGTGACAATGGATCCCCCCACCCATAAAAGATATTCATCCCTCAAGGAATGGGTCCCTTCTAAGGAAATGTTTCCCTCTTCCTCAAGGTGATGGTCTCCTTCTGAGCGACCTTAATTGTTTCCAGAAGCAGGGGAGATGTCATTAGGGGAGTGGGACACAGTTATAATGTCCTCAATTTATAATTATAGTTATAATCATCTACCATTCTCTCTACCTTTCTTACCTTTTCCGGGTCTGCCACCTTGGCCTCAAGGGAATAAACTTGTTCCCAGAGAGCCAGGAGCTCACTGCACTTTAGGCATACCGAATGAGGAGACTGTCATACATATGGCAGATAATGCAAAACACTTCCAACCTCCGTGTTTCTTTGTTTTAGTTTTTGAGAGTTTAGGATTTTGCTGGGCAGAGTGGGGTGCCCTGGCAGCTCTGCTGCTGAACTCACACATCTGCCAAACTCACCTTGACCCTTTGTCAGCTGGGGCTGAGACACTTCATCAACCAGTTCAGAAGGGAATTGGTCCTGGTCACCCTGGAAAATGGCCTTGTTTGAGGCAGAGACTGCAACTCTGCAGCTGCTGTCAGATCTCTCTGCTATTGACCATGGTATCCTCCTGGACTGCCTCTGTGCTGTTTTACAGTGGTTCCACTCTTACCTGCAATGACTGGCACCAGAGAATAGTATTGGGGGACTACATGAGACATCTTGGCAGCTTAGCTTTGGGGTGCAGTAAGACCTGATTCTGTCCCCAATGTTATTTGACCTCCATATGAAACTGTTGGGAACAGTCATCAGGAGATTTGGGGCACAGTGTCATAGGCATGGTGATGTCTTTCCCATTAAATCTGAGTCAAGAGAGGCTGTGCATAAGCTGAACCATTGGCTGGATGCAGCAGTGAAATTAATGAGGGTCAATAAGCTGAAACCTGAATCCTGCTAAGACAGACATAGTGCGGGTAAGTAGTTTCTAGGTCTGAAAATTGGGGAGTCTGTCTGTTCCAATGCCACATGGGCTTCAGATGGGCTGAATATCATCACAGAGTGAAAAAAGTGCCTGGCTTCTATTTCTGAACATGACACCATTCAAAGTACAACCCAGTCATGTCATAAATTCAGTGACACATCATTGTATTATAAAAATGATAACAGGGCATCATTGTTATAAGTGCACCCAGCGAAAATGTTTTACATGAATATAATAGAAGCCAGATTCATTGCTCTGGTGGGTGGATGGGATTCAAAAGGGCTGCTTGTGCATCAGGTATAATGGAAAATTCACATGCAGACTCATCAGCTATTTATATCCTTTGGCATTTATATATATGCTGCAGATGAGATATGCCTTTGTTTCTCAGGCAATTATCAGGTACAAATTAATTCTCCTCTTAACATCTCCATGTTGATATGGCTCCAGCACTTTTGCTGATTGTTTTAAGCCTTCTGCATGTGGCCAATTCTAAATTTAACCAAAAAAAAAAGTCATTTGTTTGATTGCATAAGCAACATTCCAAATGTTAATCTTCCAACTGCGACTCAAGATGAGTGGGTGCATGGAGGGTCTGATCTGTCTCGTAATTGGAGCTGGAGGAAAATGACTCCCCCCTCCCCATACACATTT